CCTCAGTCCTTTAGAAGAGCATTTGTTCCGTTGTTGAAACACATATTGTTTACAGACAACGAACATAGGTGATATTGTTTTCAGATACAACGGAACAATAGCTCTTCTCAGACTGAGGGACTGACGGCACCTCAAGAACTTTAAGGGTGATGGACAGCTTACAACGTCTTCAAGTATCTTCTGCATTCTATCAACATTCTACTGTACTCGACTGAAAAGCCTACTGTGTAGGCGAAACAGTTTCGAAATAAAGATACCTAACTGCTCATATGTTTCTTACCTAACACATAATACAGTCGTATTTTAACCATTATTAACTGTACATGAGTAAATGCTGAAAGGAAGTCACAAACTAATTACTTGCAATGCCAGGGAAGCACCCATGAAAGGTCAGGAACAGTAACCCACAATTGGAACCTGGACAGCACTCTATGTAGGTTTCTCACTAAAAATTTACTTCTATCTCCAACACAGAGTACTTGAACATCTCACTATTTGAGAAAAATCGTGGTCAGGGACTGATAATGAAGCAGAAACTACCAGTGTTACGAAATAATAATAGTAATGGTCTTATGTACAGAACAGAAGGTCTCAGAAATAAAAGGAACAGATGCAGAGAATTATCTCTTCTTTCCAACTTCCTCATACCCAAGAGAATCCCTCTGACACTGGTTGTCAACGTGGATACCCACTACCGTAGCAAAATATAGTGGATAATAAAATATGGGCTCCCTCCACAGACCGAACTGGCTGGCTCTCTGAATGAAAATAACTGGCCTCAAAGCAAGAGCTTCACATATGCCATATGAAAAAGTCCTGCTTTAACACGCGCAAGAAATAAGATTGTGTAAATTACTGCAGACACAACAAGAAATAGTCATTGATGACCTAATTACTCCATCTTTGGGTAAACTCTTAAGGGTTACGGCTCATTGTCTTAAATTCATTAAAGGAATGAAACAACTAATTTTAAAAATTGAAACATATCTTGAACCCATAAATACTGGTTTAAACTAATACAGAAAGATGTTTTTCTCTACAAATATAAATTTCTAGAAACACAAGAATAAATCCCCAAAGAAACCTGTTATGATTAATTTCTTTATGTACTTTATCTCGACACAGAAAAGATTATACAAAGATGTCGAGGAAGAATCATAATTCGATCACTAACCTAAAGAAGCCATCACAACCAATAGTAGGATCCCCAAGAATCATTTGGCTAACAAAACTGATTGTTCATAACGCCGCACAGTAACGGAGTTACATGGTGGGGTCTACACACTCGTCATAAATACGAACAAACCTACTGAATACCTCAATACGACCAAAGTGTGAAAAACGACTTAGAAGAATTTGGACATTTGTGAGTGAAAATAGAAACAAAGAGAACAACAACAGACTTCTAAATATGTTGACCCGATGATCTGGACAATTTAGAATGTTAAGGTCCATCTCATTTGCTCTCATGGGCAGAAGGCTCGGAACTTGTTTTCCTCCCATGAATTATAAAAATCGTAAAGACATTAGATCGCTACTTATTTTCGAACCTGAGGCAACTCAGACGTCAAATTTCAAACACCATAATAAAGTGATTGAAACGTTGGGAGAAAATTTGGCAGAAACTATCCTCACCTCATTGAGAGAACACTTCTATGGAGCTGGTGTTACCTGAAAATCATAAGTCCTTACAGACGTCCTGGTGACATAGTAGAATATCTGACAATGATGTCCGAGTCTCAATGGTTCCTCTCTGGACAAAGATTGTGACCATATATCCAATGCCAAATGGAATCATCAGGACATTTGATGTGTTGAGCAAAGGTGTCTGTGAATAAGCGGACAATAAATAAACTAGTGCCTTTAGAATTAACACAGATTGAAAACAAAATTAGTGATTTCTCCAGAACACCACACAGACAAAGCTGGTTTCATAAAAGACAAGGCAGCAGTTGTGGCGAGTGAGAAAATCAAATTAATGTTAAGTGATGTGAATATTACACCTGCAGCGGAACCTTCGCCGCCCCCAGTGTGGAAGTAAGTTATCTCAACACAGGAGGGGGGGTATCATCCCCCTTCAGACATCCCTTCATGAGCCCTGAGGGGCCTAGTCCTCTCAGAAGAGGCCTCAATCATGTTTACTGTTACATCAAGTAATTCCAACAGTACATTTAAAAACCAAGTCGTGTACTATCATGCGTTCGTGCGACTATCTTTGCAAGAGACCGAGAGTTGCAAGTAGCGTAGTTTAATAATAAGATAAATCAATCCTTACCCTTACAGCAGGAAACAGATTTAACATACAATCCTGCACGCCAACTTTATTACCCATGTTAAAGAAGAAATATTGTTGCTATGCTTAAGTCAGCAAGAATCAAGCAATTCAGAATTGCTCATAGTGGAAGTTTTGGCAAGCAAGAAAATAAGCTATTAGTCGGCACTTGTTTTGTGTGTCAGTAAGCTGGGTAGACGGGACGGCCGCCGTATATGCATATAACCCTACTAAGGGATACATTTGAACAAAACCTGGGATAGCCGAACAAAGCACACAGATCCGTGCGTTGGTCATGGCAAAAAAGTAATCTCAAAGAACACTATCAAAACACTATACACAGAAGTGTGATATCAGCCTCTTTAGTGATAAGAGGTGTGTGAAAAAATATAAATAAGTTCTTGATGAACAGAGTGAAACAACTAGTGATAATCACTCCTAACAGCAGTGTAGGTGGTGAAAACCTTCTTCCAAAGATCACGTCTAGCGGTCAAAACAAGACAGACCTATATTCTGAGTCATATATGGGTCAGATACAGACACAACCCGAGGTAGGTCTAAGTAATTAATAAGACCAGCTAGGTCACTGCAAACAACAAATAGCCACTATTATTATATTAGATGCAGCCATACACTCGGTTATGGCGGAGACCACATCGAGCCCGACACGCTAGTCCGTATATCATTAGGAATTCATTGTATCCAGTCAGTATTTTACAGAAGTTACGAAAATACTGACAAAAATAAAACACCACCCTCCCCCCCTACGTGAAAACTTAAACTTGCGTAATATTTTAATTTCAGTCCCTGAGGCATTGAGCATACGACAATCTCGTCAGAACATCACATACAGTGAATGCATCTTTAGAGACGAAATCTATCTTTCAAGATAAGTCCCAGTTTCAGTCCACCATTTATATCTTTTGACTTAGCCTTTTAGCAAATTTGACTCAATAAGTTACTACCAGTCACTTCTAAACAACGTTGACAAAACTTTACCATTTACTTCGCTTTCTCCAAAACAACGTAACCATACCAATCACATAACTTCTAAACAACTTTACTCTACCAGGATGCACTCTCAAAACTACGTTACTAACCTATTCACTTCAAAACACGTTACTACCGAGTCACTCGTAATCAACGTTACTACCAGTCACAATCTAAACAACAGTAACAACCAGTTACTTCTCTCTATAACAACGTTCCATTCTGACCAGTCACCTTCTAAAAACAACGTTACTACCAGTCCACTACTTCTTAAACAACGTATAACTTACCTGAGACACACATACTAAACAACGTTTACATATACACATCACATCTAAACAAACCGTTACTACTACCAAGTTCACTTCAACACCGATACTAACCATTCGACTCTAAACACCGGTAACTAACCAGACACTTCTAAATCAACCGTATGCCTACCAGTCACAATCTAAACAAGCGTTACTACCACGTCCACTTCAAAACAAACGTATAACTTACCATCACTACAAACATACGTTTACTACTCATTCACTTCTAAACAAACGATTATACCAGTGTTACCTTCAAAACAACGTAACTAACAGTTACTTCAAAACAAAAGCAGTACCAGGTCAGCTTACTAACCAAACGTTACTACCAGTCCAACTATCTAAACAAAACGTTTTTTACTTACCCAGTCACTACAACTATCTAACAACAACGATTACTAAATAAACCCTAAACCATCACTCATAAACAACGTTACTACTTACCATTCACTTCGAACAACGCGTTACTACCAGTCACAAAATCAAAACAAAAACGTTACTACCCAGTTCACTATCTAAACAAAAACGTATAACTACTACCACACGAATATCACATCAAAACAAAAAAATAACTATCTAAACAAAACTTAACCTACTAAAAAACAGACACCAAGCTTTTACAAATGCCTCTATCCAGTCTATATTTTTTCACCGTATTTTTATGTTACCCAAGTAATAGCTTTTATATCCTTTTTCTAATGTACGAATTAATTGCTCTACCATATTGTGTTACTACTACTACTACAACTTTTGACACTACTACTACTACTACTACTACTACTACTACTACTTTTGACACTACTACTACTACCACCACTAGTATTGCACCTCACTCTGAGCCTATATATACCCTCTGTGTCCATGTATTGTTTGTAATGGCTTGATAAAGCTCCTGGAGAGCGAAACGTTGCCACATTAGTTGCACTTGTGTCCTTTTATTTACAATTATTTGACTCAAGAGTTTTGAAAGAAGTTCTATGACCTGTTAAAGAAAGCTTTAAAGATTTTTTCCCCAGAGTAAGAGGTCTTATGAATGTGTTAATTTCACTATTAAAAGAGAGCAAGACGCAATAGCTCTGACATTTACTCATTCCATCATCTCTGACTTTCATCTTACTGCTTCACTCACTTCCTTCATACACAGTTCTGGTTCCTCACTCTTTCTAATCGATTTCGTTCCTTTTTACCTGGAGTATACCTGGAGAGAGTTCCGGGGGTCAACGCCCGGTTTGTGACCAGGCCTCATGGTGGTCACTACCACGAATAACTACTTGCTGCAAATGTCACTCTCGTGGTTATGTAATTAAAGTCAGAGTCACTGGGTTACAGTGACAGAACTTGAGTAAGCAACTAAAAAAATTACTATTGGTACAGTATTTGTTTACAGATTTATTTGATTTTGGGTGAATTGTCTCCTCGCCTCGTACCTTGGTTGTGCCCTCGGTGGTGTCGACGACTGTTTCCTCGCCAAGCTTGAAGTTCCACACCAGCGTCTTGAAGGTCATTAAGCTGGTGATGGTCCACTCATCGTCCTTCACCTCCACCTGTATCGTCGGCTTGATCTGAAGAGCTAGCTTCCTCACCAGGAAGGACATCCCTGTGTCAGTGTTACGTGTATATGATATATGAAGAATTTATGTTATTTGTAGCAGGTTTTTAAAAGGATTACTCAAATATAATTGCATATTATTTCTGTAATAACTCCGAGAGAAATTAGCATTTAGCACCAGCCACCTGTGTTAGATAAACAGCAATAGTTTTAACTAATAAACTAACCTAGGCAAAAATGTAACGTGACTTACAATGTCTCACTCAGTAGAAATTAATAAATTTACTAATTTAGAACACTAATGAGTATTTGAACCTTCTAATTATATATATTAGCTACGATATGTGACTTAAGCCCAACAAGACACTCAAGAGATGGATATCACTACCCTTAAGTGGTCCAGGACCAAAACACAAGCCAGTCATACACCCTGAAAACGAGAGATGAATTAGACGAAGCGATTTAAAGATATTCTTAAAGACACTACGAAGTTGAGCAGCTGAAATAGCTAAGAAGAAGCAATTGCAAGTTATAGCATGAAACTTGATGTCAGGGGAAAAACACAGGAATATTTAACTGTTATTGCCTATGTTTCTATCATTTCCAAACCAGGTTATACCTTTCAGTAGTTTTATATTTTTTAAGAGTGTTGAGCAGCCATGATGAAGAGAAAAGAGAGAGAGAGAGAGAAAAGAGAGGAGAGAGAGAGAAGAGAGAGAGGGGAGGAGAGGAGAAAATGAGAGAGAGAGAGAGAGAGAGAGAGAGAGAGAGAGAAGGGGAGAGAGAGAGGGGAGAGAGGGGAGAGATGGGGAGAAGAGAAAAGAGAAGAGAGAGGAATGTTAGTCTCGCTATCACATTCTTGAAGCCAAAAAACTGATTTTCATTAAAATCAACTCAGTTATATTCTGACACGAGAGAAAGTTTTTATAATACACTTTTAACAATTTGTAGAAAATCTAAATTAAGCATCATACAGCATTATGCCCAAACATTTTTGCTGAACAGCAGAAGACTTCCACAGCATCAGGAAGTCAACAAGCAACAGCATTAAATGTGAGAGATAAGTTTAAAGCAACTGCTCTCCCGATAGCTCGAGTTGAGTTATCTAATAAATTACACAAAACCAATGTGCTAACACTATTTGATCAAGGCTCACAAAGGTCCTTCATAAGAAGAACAGTGTTGCAGAAACTGAATAAACAACCCTATGCCAAAGTACAATTAGATATAGCTGGTTTTTCCACAATTCTGGTAAACAGACATATGACCTAGCCAGAATCACTGTTGGTCTAGGAAACAGGAAAAATACGAGAAGCTGTGGTTGTAGATGATTTGCCTAAGTCTGTGCAGATCCAGGGATTAAAAGAAACAGTTGCAGCACTGAAAGCAGCTAAGGTCAAGTTAGCCTGTCCTGACATACAGACGGACACAATTAGTCCAATTGATTTAATCATTAGAAGTGATTATTATCACTGTTTTGTGCAAAATATAGTAAGTAAACATGATGTTCACTTGCTGAAAACAGCAGGAGGCCACATGATATGTGGTCCCATTCCCTCTCAAAGTGGGAAAGAAGCTGATATTGATTCAGTGGAAAATGTACTAGTTACGAGAATAACCGCTGATCATGTACCACAGCAAAAATTATCATTACTGGAAGAAATGAATGAACCAGTTGATAAGTTGTGGGATTTAGATGCGATAGGTATTGATGTAAATAAACCAAGCCCACAAGAGTCTCAGACTTATAACCAATATTTAGACAAAGTCAAATATGAAGATGGACAGTATTGGGTTAGGTTACCATGGAATTTTAATCCACCACGTCTGCCTAGCAATTATCGCATGGCTTTCGGACAAATGAAAGCACAAATACATGAGTTCAGGAAGAATCCAGAGCTACTGACTATGATAATATCATACAAGAACAGTTGGACAATAAATTCATTGAGGAAGTAGTCGAAGACAAGTTGAAGATAGAAGCTCATTATCTCCCGCACCATGGAGTCAGAAAAGATTCTGAAACCACTTCACTACGTGTTGTATATAATTGCAGCGCACGTGCAAATAAAGATGTAGCAAGTCTTAATGACTGTCTGATGCCCGGACCCTCACTAACTGAGAAGCTTGGAGACGTGCTTATGAAATTTCGCACAAACCCATATGCCTACACGGCTAATATTTCCAAAGCTTTCTTAAGAGTAGGACTACAAGAAATTGATAGAGATTATATTCGATTCTTGTGGCCTGAAAATCCACATGATCCTCAAAGCCCTGTGAAAACTTATCGTTTCAAATCAGTATTATTTGGTGCAACATCCTCTCCATTCTTACTAGAAGCTACTCTAAATACACATTTGAAGAAATCTGAAAGTCCTTCAAAGAAGTCTTAAAGAAAAGTTTCTATGTGGACAATCTTCAAGGTACTGTGAATAAAGGATTTGAAATCCTTATACAGAGAAGCTAACAAGGAGATGAAAGAAGCAAATATGCCTCTAAGGATGTGGAATACAAATTCAAAGCAATTAAGGAACTTATGAAAGAAGATTTCCCTGAAACTGAAATTCCTGATTGCAACAATATGCTGGGACTTAATTGGAACACACAGGAAGATACTTTGAGTCTCAAAAAGATAAACAATAAATCATGCAGTACACTCACTAAACGTAGTTTACTGTCAGAGGTATCACAATGTTTTGATCCTCTAGGACTCGTCTCACCAATTACCATAAAAGGTAAAATGCTTATGCAAGATACATGGAAACTCAAAATTGGATGGGATGAGAACTTGCTTCTAGAAATGAGTCAAGCATGGGATGAAATATCCAAGGAGTTTAAACTTCATCAAATTAAATTTTCCAGACAAATAGGTCAAGAGGGAAACAGGTAAGCATTACATGTGTTCTGTGATGCATCAACCAGAGGTTATGGTGCTGTAGCTTACATGAGTAATGTTAGGTAAGACACATATGCAACAGTTAGGTATCTTTATTTCGAAACGTTTCGCCTACACAGTAGGCTTCTTCAGTCGAGTACAGAAAAGTTGATAGAAGCAGAAGATACTTGAAGACGATGTAATCAGTCCATCACCCTTAAAGTTTTGAGGTGGTCAGTCCCTCAGTCTGGAGAAGAGCATTGTTCCGTTGTCTGAAACAATATTGTTTCAGACAACAATATTGTGATATTGTTTCAGACAACGGAACAATGCTCTTCTCCAGACTGAGGGACTGACCACCTCAAAACTTTAAGGGTGATGGACTGATTACATCGTCTTCAAGTATCTTCTGCTTCTATCAACTTTTCTGTACTCGACTGAAGAAGCCTACTGTGTAGGCGAAACGTTTCGAAATAAAGATACCTAACTGTTGCATATGTGTCTTACCTAACAATCTGTCGGTATTTTATACCATTTTAATGTACATGAGTAATGCTGAAGGAAGTACACTAATTACTTCAAAGGCCAGGGTAGCACCCTTGAAGGTCAGAACAGTACCACAATTGGAACTGACAGCACTCTATGTAGGTACAAAATTAGCTGTCTATCTCAACAAAGTACTTGATCATCTCACTATTGGAAAAACCGTGATCTGGACTGATAATGAAGCAGTTCTCCAGTGGTTAAGAAATAATAAGAGTAAGCTGGTCTATGTACAGAACAGAGTAGCAGAAATAAAAGAGATGCAGAGAGATTATCTCTTTCTCCACGTCTCTACCCAAGAGAATCCAGCTGACATGTTGTCACGTGGTGTCCCACTCAAGAAATTTGTGGATAATAAATTATGGCTCCACGGACCGAACTGGCTCTCTGATGAAAATAACTGGCCTCAGCAAGAAGCTCACATTATGCCAGAAGAAACAGTCTGCTTGAACACAGCAGAAATAAGTTGTGTAAATACTGCAGACACAACAGAAATAGTCATTGATGGATCTAATTACTCATCTTTGGGTAAACTCTTAAGAGTTACAGCTCTTGTCTTTAAATTCATTAAAGGAATGAAACCTGATTATGAATATCTTGAACCATATAAATACTGGGTGAAACTAATACAGAAAGATGTTTTCTCTACAGAATATAAATTTCTAGAAACACAAGATAAATCCCCAAAGAAACCTGTTATGATTAATTCTTTAGGACTTTATCTCGACTCAGAAAAGATTATAAGATGTCGAGGAAGAATTCATAATTCTTCACTACCTAAAGAAGCCATACATCCAATATTGATCCCCAAGAATCATTGGCTAACAAAACTGATTGTTCAAAACGCCCACAGTAACGTGTTACATGGTGGGGTAGCTGACACACTTTGTCATATACGACAATCCTACTGGATACCTCAAGGACGACAAAGTGTGAAAAACGACTTAGAAGAATTTTGTACAGTTGTGAGTGAAATAGAAAATAGAGTCAACAACAGACTTCTAACTTATGTTACCGATGATCTGGACAATTTAGAAGTGTTAAGTCCATCTCATTTGCTCCATGGCAGAAGGCTCGAACTTGTTCCTCCCATGAATTATAAAGAAATCGTAGAGGATCCTACTTATTTCGAACCTGAGCAACTCAGACGTAAATTCAAACACCTTAATAAAGTGATTGAACGTTGGGAGAAAATTTGGCGAGAAGACTATCTCACCTCATTGAGAGAACACTTCTATGGAGCTGGTGTTCCTGAAAATCATAAGTCCTTAAGACCTGGTGACATAGTGATTATTGACAATGATGGTCCGAGGTCTCAATGGTCTCTTGGAAAAATTGTGACCATATATCCTGATGCAAATGGAATCATCAGGACAGTTGATGTGTTGAGCAAAGGTGTGGTGAATAAGCGGACAATAAATAAACTAGTGCCGTTAGAATTACACAGTGTTGAAAACAAAATTAGTGATTCTCCAGAAACCACACAGACTAAAGCTGTTCAGAAAAGACAAGCAGCAGTGGTGGCGAGTGAGAAAATCAAATTAATGTTAAGTGATGAATAGTTCACCTGCAGCGAACCTTCGCCGCCCCCCAGTGTGGAGGTATTTTCTCCAGGAGGGGGGTATCAGCCCCCTTCAGCCCTTCAGCC